GTAGTAGGAAAATTAACTTATTTTAATGAGAGTTTAGAATTTTGCAAAATATAGAATTAAGTAAAAATTGCCGGCACAGGACTGCAGTTTTCCTCTGTGTTTGGTATTAGAATTGACTTTTTAGTTTCGTAGGAGGTTGGGGCAAGTTACTCCCTTTCTTCCTCAGGCAAATTGTTCTAGCAACCTCCTGTGTCCCTGCCAGAGTGGTCAGGCAAAGCTGGGAAAATGTGCAGTGTAAAAAAAAAAAAAAAAAAAAATGTGCAAAGCTTCATTGGCACCGCTTTTTAACTATTATGTACAAAAAACAAAATTAAAATAATGTTAATTTTGCAAAGTGAAGCACTCAAAAGTTAGGAAATGCTATGATAAAGGTTCCCCATGCAACCTTAATTTGATCCTCTTATATGTATTCATTATGAGCTTGGCTAGCCTTACATAAGGTCCTAACAGAGCCAGGGGCAAACTTGAACTCACTGGAGTCTTCGTCTAGTACCATAAACACAAGAGAGCATCCTTCCTGCTCTCTGTAATCATAACACACAGAACTAGTCAAAAGTCAGAATTTCTGTTTTGTGGAAAATTCCAAAATTCTGGAGGGAAAATTCGAATCTGAAATGTCGCGCAAAAGGGAAAATTTCCCCAAAACTTGTTCCAGAATAATCTAAATGTTTCATTTTGGAAAATTTGAGCCCAAGTTGCAAGGCTCCCAGCTCCACAGCAGGGAAGCTGTAAGTCCTGAATCAGGAGCTGAACCGCAGCTAGAGCCAGAAGTTACAGTTCCAAGGGAACCCAGCATGTGGTTATCAGAAGTTCATAGAACATATGTTTCTGCAAAACATTTCAGATTAGATGATTTGGCATTTTCCAGCAAAAGCCTGCTTCCAAAATTCCTGGACAACTCTAATAAAACATGCACAAGGGGGGTGCATTAAGGTTGTATTTCTTAAGAACATAAGAATGGCTGTATTGGGTCAGACCAAAGGTCCATCCAGCCCAGTATCCTGTCTACCGACCGTGGCCAATGCCAGGCGCCCCAAAGGGAGTGAACCTAACAGGTAATGATCAAGTGATCTCTCTCCTGCCATCCATCTCTACCCTCTGACACACAGAGGCTAAGGACACCATTCCTTACCCATCCTGGGTAATAGCCATTAATGGACTTAACCTCCATGAATTTATCCGGTTCTCTTTTAAATCCTGTTATAGTCCTAGCCTTCACAACCTCCTCAGGCAAGGAGTTCCACAAGTTGACTGTGCGCTGTGTGAAGAAGAACTTCCTTTTATTTGTTTCAGAGTAGCAGCCGTGTTAGTCTGTATCCGCAAAAAGAACAGGAGTACTTGTGGCACCTTAGAGACTAACAAATTTATTCGAGCACTCCAAGACTTCAAGAGGGATAGCTTAGACTTCGACCACTTAGTTAAGATTTATGCACACTGTAATAAGAGTGCCAATACAATACTCTAGGTGCCCCTGACATTTTATGTAAGAATACACTTGAATTAAAGCAATAACTAATTGTGATAGTAAGCTGATATTGTCTATGTCGACCAGTCACTGAAGATACTACAGATACAATGTCAGTGGCTTGCACAACTATTTGCAGAAGAGCAGAGGAATGTTGGGAGTTAGGAGTTCTGGATTCTATTCCTAGCTCTGAAGGCGAGTGTAACTAGCCAAGAACCACAGCTAAGCACATAGATTTGGTGTAATTTGTTGTGAAAAGCAACTTATGTGACTTGCCATTTTAGAGCTTTGGGTTCTGTTCTCAACTCTGACAGAAGTGGCTTTGTTCAAGCTGTTACTTTAATTGTAAAATGGATTAAGATCCTTTCCTGCCTCCTAAAGTAGGGGAAGGTATGAGTCCTTGCTTAACAATAATGGCTTGGAAGTTCACAGAATTAACACTGGTCAGCTGAAGAGCTGAGACTGGAACTTCATCTCCTCTTGACTTCCAGGTCCCAGTACACCTTCTCACAGGCCAAGAATTTGGATGCCTTCCATTGCCTCCTGTCTTCATATATCTAGCTCTGTGCCTACTGTGTAGCAGACTGTCAGTTCTGAGGGCATGCTTAGTGCAGTTGGTATATAGTGAGTTCTGTTGCTCTGGGACATATCAGTTCAGAATGGAGTATTTGGAGACTTTTTAGCAATAAGCCTCCAACAACCTCTGCTGAGCGTGTGTAGATCTGGATGGATTTTTATGAAAACAGCAAAAGGCACCTCTTTGATATCAGGACTATGCCCTTTGCTAAATTTCAAGTTTATGCTCCAATGCATGGAGGTGCTAGAGCTCTTCAAAGAAATTCCTGGAAAGAGAAATTTATTATCGGAAAAAATAGTTTGTCACTCTTCAGTCTCAGATTTAGCAGAACCTCTTGATAAAACTTTCCAAAAAACTTCAGTCTGAGATGAAGAAAGAGAGCATGGAAAATTCCAGTCCAAATGATTAAAGTTAGACAAAATTTATAAGCAACTGAAATCAGGAACCTATAATGGAAGGTGCTAAGTAACCTTAACAATGGACATTGCTACCAGTTATGCTTGTAATATTTTATCATACTCCAAGTAGTCTCCAGGTGTTGTAGGGCTGAATGTGAATTTTAGGCTATTTAAACACAAATATCTCAATTCAGCACCTTGTAAGATTTTGGATTTTAGCTGAGCATCTACAGGTTCGGATGCTTCTCCAAACCTGTGGAGGCATCCATATGAGTCCCCATCTGTCCCCACAGCTTCCCTTAGGTAAAGCCCTGTCAGGAATAAGCTGTGGTCATCCTCCTGTGGGTAGTGGGGAGTCTTGTATTCAGAGAAAGGTGGCAGGCCTATTTTCCACTATTCTTCCTGGTATCTTCAGGGGCTTCTCAGGGTGAGGAGCAGGGAATGCTTCTGCCTTACTCATCAATATATCCGCTTTTTGCCTTTATTGAATTAATGACCTTTCTTGTGCACTTTTGTCTATGGTACACTAGACAGGTGAATTTACACTGTAAGCCTGGTGGCATTCAAAAGAGGATAATAAATATTGATGTTTTTTCTTTTATGTTTGTGCAGAAGGTAGCAATCTGCAATAATAAAGATTATTCGAGAGAGTTGTGCATTTTTATGTATTTTAGACTGTCATGTAATTAAAAATCTTTAATTTGTTGTAGAAGTATACTAATGTAGTTTTTAATGAAGTTGATGGTTTTAAGTACAGTACTGCTCACTGGAAAGATGCATCCTCATACACAGTTTATCTTGCAGGGAAATTGTTTAATAACACTGAATAAACTCTTACTGTGAGAGTGCAAAATTTGAAAATAAAAACAAACCTATTAATATAGCCATTGAGGATACCTAAGTCTGTCTTTTATTAAGAAAGAGATAGATAATAAGACAGAAAATATCCTATTGCCTCTATATAAATCCATGGTATGCGCAGATGTGGTCGCCCCATCTCAAAAAAAGATGTATTGGAATTGGAAAAGGTTCAGAAAAGGGCAACAAAAGTGATTAGGGATATGGAACGGCTTCCATATGAGGAGAGATTAATAAGACTGGGACTTTTCAGCTTGGAAAAGAGACGACTAAGGGGATATGATTGAGGTCTATAAAATCATGACTGGTGTGGAGAAAGTAAATAAGGAAGTGTTATTTACTCCTCCTCATAACACAAGAACTAGGGGTCACCAAATGAAATTAATAGGCAGTAGGTTTAAAACAAATAAAAGGAAGTATTTTTTCACACAACCTGTGGAACTCTTTGCCAGAGGAGGTTGTGAAGGCCAAGACTATAACATGGTTCAAAAAAGAACTAGATAAATTCATGGAAGTTACGTCCATCAATGGCTATTAGCCAGCATGGGCAGGGATGGTGTCCCTAGCATCTATTTTCTAGAAGCTGGGAATGAGCAACAGGGAATGGATCACTTGATGACTGACTACCTGTTATGTTCATTCCCTTGCGGGCACCTGGTATTGGCCACTGTCAGAAGACAGGATACTGGGCTAGATGGACCTTTGGTCTGACCCGGTATGGCCGTTCTTATGTCATCATACCACAGGCATATAAGCTTCTTGTAAACAGAATACATTACCTTTTGTTGAAAATTTGCTGTAATTCTAATTCACATTTATAGTGAAAGCATAACTTTTATTTTCAAGCGGTTGTAAACTTAATTATCAAATAGACTAGTACAGTCAATAAGATCTGCTTTAGAATATAGCACATGGTTAATATATAATGTGGCTCTTGAAATATATTGTATACAGATACAGTTTGTAATTACTATTTTTTGTAATTGTGTTGCTTAATAAATCAGCTCATAAAAGCTTTTGTAAACCATTGTTGAAAATATTTAGCCGTGCACTATGTAAACATTAGTTAATTTCCACATCTGAGTTAAAAGATGTCAATTATTTAATGCATTATCAAGATATCATCTTAGAACAAAGAATATGATTTAAAACAAACTATAAACCCACCAGAAGTTTTTTTTTTTTTTTTTTTTTTTTTTTTTTTTTTTTTAGTAATTTTCTTTTTTTTGGTTTTCTGTCTGTGTATTTATCCACTCTTGTCTCTCTATCGCATTGTACAGTACACTGTCCACTCCACTCCATCAATGGTATTAGTTCACTTCTCCGACACTGTTCTGTGCATTTTCTTCCATGTTATGCTGTGTAGAAGGAATTCCCTTCCTAAACTTGTTCATAACACCTTTACCCTTTTAACTTCATCATCATCCTCTTCAGTACTCACTTCTACAGTGATGATTGCAAGCAATTTTCAACTAGTAGAAGGCCAATTAAACTGTTAAAACAAGGTTTTTTTTGATGTTTCATCCTCCTGCACCCTTTGTGTGTTTCTTACCTTAAAGTGTGAGCTCATTGTGTATGTTTGGAAAGTAGCTAGCAGTATATGGGTGCTACTGCTATATAAATAGCTATTATTTAATGTAAGTTATCACAGTATCTTCCATTATGAAAAATGTGACAGAATATTTTCTTACTCTACTTTCAGAGATTGAAAGCTGCCTTGACCCAGCAGCATCCTCAGGTCACAAATGGAGATACTGCCAAGGGGCATGCTAGTGGATTGATTAGGACTCAGTCAGAGGAAGCCCGACCACAGTCATTACAACAGCCTGCTACATCAACTACAGAAACACCGGTATGACAACAAAGCCAAGATGTACTTCTAACTCTTTTTACTGTTACACAAAAATCTCTGATCCGCATTCATTTATTTTATATATTGAGAATAAGATTGAGGTGTGTTATGAACCAATATTGGAAAAAATGGAGGTTGTCTTACCTACTTGGTAAGAAAGCTAAGGCCTCCTGATTTCTGTAGCATACTGGCATTGAATTCTGGGGTAAACTAAAAATTGTGCAGCAAGTTAAGATACATCTGGAAAATATCAACAAAACAAGTGTTACCATGGTATTGTATTAGTTTAATATTAAAGATCATAAGCACCTTTTAAAATATTTTTCCAATCATTTCAGGTTCCTGCTTAAGGTACCATTTGCTTGAAAGAGCCGTTATTGACTGATATAAAAATGAGGGACTCAGCTGCATAATTTAGTTAGTTTTACTGTGCTCTCTTGGGTGTTGTGAAAATGGTGATGTTGGGAGAGCTATTCTAGATGATGACTAGGAATAGGATGAAAATGGGTGGAAACAATGAGCCAGGTTGGAGAAGGGGAATAGGTGTGCAATTGGGAGTTGGGGAGAGGTCTGGTCCTCTTGATTCTAGGAGAAGGGTTCAGAAGCTACAGTTTTTACCTCAGAGGTGTGCTGTTGACCTAATTTCATCTGGTCAGAGAAGCCTGTCTGGAAAGCGCTTTCTCAAGAAAATCCAGGCTTACTAAGTAGCACAGTGAAAACAGAACCACACACCCCTTTTGTGGGGGAGAAAGAGACAAACATGAAGGAAGCATCGCTATATTGAGTGTATTTCAGATGGTAACTTCCTTTTGTAGGTTAATGTACACTAGGAAAATGACATTTTATAGACCAAGGTTGTCAGCAATTGGTCACTGTGTCTGTTCAGGAGTTCTTTCTTTCCCCTAGCCAGTGTCCTCAAAATCAGATGACCTGTATCTCTCTCCTGTCTGTTTTCCCAGCTGCAGAATTTTTGCCAGTGAAAAAGCTGGTATGAAATACCTATCCTCAAATATCATTGCTCCTGTGTTGACAAGCTCTAGTTTTTAGAGTTAGACCTTCATAGAAAAGATGTATAGCGTGTCTCTTCTCTGTTACCTGGGGATACTATGTTGGATCTGTAGTACCAGGCTGGAACCCTCTCACATGGTAGTGAATCTCTTGAACAGTAACATCACATGCTAGTCTTTTTAAGGATGTTCAAAATAAAGACCCGAAGATCGACTCCCTTCAGGATTTATAAAGCAATTGGTAGGGCCTTAAGAATCAAGGCAATTCCTCTGGGGTTTTCCTTTTAGAGGTGAGATGATGTTCAGTTTTTAGGGCAGCTGAAAAACAAAAGCAAAGACTTTGTCATAGTTGCATGGGATTTCAACTTTATCATGAAAATCTTCTCAGGGATTTGAAAAGAGCTTCTGTGGAGTGCTTTAGGAAGATTTCTGACCATAATGTTGTATTAATAATGGCCATCTGCTTGTCCAGAAAATTGAGGATGAAGCTCCCTCTAGCCTTACCAGTTTTTTCATCAGAACAAGATAGTAACGAAGGGTCAAAATTGTAAAGGATTCTTAACCTTCTCTTTCTTTGTACCTATAACCAGTAGCAGGCTCCTTAATAGGAGGTGTAAAATACTGTCAATGCAATCAAGCAGTAAGATCTGAATGTTACAATTTTTGGTCACAATTGTTTGGTGCAAAAGGAGACAGTTTAAAATAATTTGTCTGTATGTTTGGTCAGGAAGTTGTTCTCCCCTTGTTCTGTCAGGCCTGGTGAAACTGAGTAAGGAACATACTTTCATACATACTATACAACAAGCTTTGCATTTCCTATCTGAAGAGAACTTTGAAAATTAGAAAAGCAGATCCCCTGTTTGTTCTTTTGTGAAGTACCAAAAAAGACAAAACAGCGTTTAAAGTTTGGCCAAGACTTCAAAAATGGATGTATATGTTCATAGTATCAAGTAGGGTGCCCAAAGCTGGATATGAGTCAACAGTGTGCCCTTGTTGCCAAGAAGGCTAACGGCATTTTGGGGCTGTATAAGTAAGGGCATTGCCAGCAGATCGAGGGACATGATCATTCCCCTCTATTCAACATTGGTGAGGCCTCATCTGGAGTACTGTGTCCAGTTTTGGGCCCCACACTACAAGAAGGATGTGGAAAAATTGGAAAGAGTCCAGTGGAGGGCAACAAAAATGATTAGGGGGCTGGAGCACATGACTTATGAGGAAAGGCTGAGGGAACTGGGATTGTTTAGTCTGCAGAAGAGAAGAATGGGGGGGGGATTTGATAGCTGCTTTCAGCTACCTGAAAGGGGATTCCAAAGAGGATGGATCTATACTGTTCTCAGTGGTAGCAGATGACAGAACAAGGAGTAATGATTTCAAGTTGCAGTGGGGGAGGTTTAGGTTGGATATTAGGAAAAACTTTTTCACTAGGAGGGTGGTGAAGCACTGGAATGGGTTACCTAGGGAGGTGGTGGAATCTCCTTCTTTAGAGGTTTTTAAGGTCAGGCTTGACAAAGCCCTGGCTGGGATGATTTAGTTGGGGATTGGTCCTGCTTTGAGCAAGGGGGTTGGACTAGATGACCTCCTGAGGTCCCTTCCAACCCTGATATTCTATGATTCTATGATATTTAGGTACCTAAAGATGTAGTCTGATTTTCAAAAGTGCTGAGCATCCATTAAAGGCAATGGGAGGAGCTGGGTGCTCAGCATATTTGAAAATCAGGCCATTCAAACACCGAACATCAGGCGTCCCTTTTAAAAAATCTTGTCTCCTTCTGGTTTTGAGGCTAGGTTAAGCAAGTGTATGCTGCCGAGGATATAGAGGCTCTTCTTACTGAGTCCATCCACAAGAGCAGTGTCTATTCTTGGATTGAGACTGTGTAATGTCGTCACCTCAGTGTTCTTCTGTACTTTTTATGTTGTTAATCTTGATGTGACAATCTCTGCAGATGCTGCCCTGAGAAGGTAGATTTATTTATTTATTTATTTAAAGTCGGTCCCAATTTTTCTTCTAGGTATACATACTCTGTGTATAATCTGGTTAATGAGAACTAGTGTGAAAGTTCTCAGTATCTAATCAGTAAGAAATATTTGCAAATGGTCAATTCTTAACTGTTAATTTAACTTCTCAAAGTCCCTTTATATCAGTCTAGATTTCATATTATGAGCTGTGGAAGTTAGGATTGGTACTTTGATTTCTGTTTTTATTTAATAGTTTATTATTTATTTTATTTTATTATTTATTGTATAACAAGTATTAAGCATGCAGAGTCAGCCAGGTCCCTTTATGAGGAGAGTTAATTCAAGGTACAGTTTTATCCTCTTTATCAGTTGATAAGACTTGAAGATCCAAGGTTGTATAGCTGTAACGCAACAGTCCTTTTATTGAGGACTATATTCTGCCCACGTAGAGGGTGGACTGTATGATCTAATAGGATATTTTTCATTTCTAACTACTTTGATCCTATCCATGTCTGGGCTGACATAGAGGTACTTGGAAAAGCCAGAAGTAACAGGTAAGAAATTACTCTTCTAGGGATTAGTAAATACCAATGCTTTGTCCAGATCCTTGTGACGAGCAGTTGTTATATATTGGGCAAATATTACATAACAACAACCAAAGTATAGCTAAGTTTTAGGATGATAGGTGTTTGGAAAACACCAGAAACAGAAACTATATGAAGTTATTGCCTGATAAATTTCATTTTACAAAGTCATTTTTAGTTAAAGCGTTTTTTAAAAGTTAAAACCTGTAAATATTTTGTCTTCCTGTAACTTTAAAATGGGTAAAAGAATGTTTGAAAAAAATTCTAAAAAGTTATTTCTTTCAGGTTTACTTGTATGCCAAGTATCAGAATGGAGTGAATTTTTGCAGCAAGATTACAAATCTGGAAACCAGTGGATCATGATTAAAATACCGAGAGAATATTAAATGTAGTTCACTAATGAGCAAAACCACAACGAAAACCACTAGACAGTATTCATAGAATTAAGATGTTTGTTTAATGTTTCCTTTAGTCAAAAATTATATTTTAAATATTAGAACAGAAATATCATTGATGTTTTCCTATATAAATGTGTGTACATTTATACATGTAAGTCAAACCCTTACATTTGAGTTACATGTTGCATTACACTGAACTATGATGTTCCTGTTTCCTTCAGGCTTCCCCAGCTCAGCCCACACCACAAACCCAAAATACAGGAGGTCGTCGAAGAAGAGCAGCAAATGAAGACCCTGATGAGAAAAGAAGAAAGTTTCTAGAGCGAAACCGTGCTGCTGCTTCAAGATGTCGACAAAAAAGAAAAGTGTGGGTGCAGTCATTGGAGAAGAAAGCAGAAGACTTGAGCTCATTAAATGGTCAATTACAGGTATTTTCTTTTTTTGATTACAAGCAAGAAGTAAAGAGTTATCTGAATTTTCAGTTAGCAATCCTGGGGTCATGGAGCGCAAACTTGGTATGGGAGCTACAATATGAATAGCTTTCTAAAATCCAGTTGAATTCAGAACAGACATAATCAGTATTAAAATGCCCGTATCATAGGCATAATGAGAATGAGACTATGCAGCTTCAAAGATATGTGAAATCTGGGATCTCACCTACTTGGCCTTTGTTCCATTTTAAGTAACTTTAGGGTTGTGACACAAACCAACAAGAGCAAGTCGATGTTGAAGTCAAGTCTCATTGGCAAAATGTTAGCCTTAATTTAGAAATGCCTTGTTTATATCAATTTGTGTCACTGCCTGAGTTACTTAAATCCAAATTTTTGTTTTAATTTCCTTTCTATTTTTTAACCGTAGTTTTTTTTCTTTAAAGTGAATGTAGTGCTCGTGAAAGGTGCCAGATTGACAGCACTGGAAACTGAAGGCCTCTATTTGTCCACAGAACAGGTACCGCACAGGCAGTGGCAGTGCAAATTTCACCACACTGCCCTACCAGTGTGCCTCAACCCTATTTTTGTGGGACCATATAGTATATGAGGGTTGTCCAGTATCTATTCCTAGTCAGCCTTTGGTGCCTTTGCTGAGACTGCCAAGAATGTGCCAATTAATGCCAAGTTGTGATGTTGACCCCCACCCAAGTCCAGTGAACTGAAATGTCCAATTCATTTCATTTAGACAATAAAGCAGGCAACTGGTGGTATTGGTATTCTGCTACCAGTCTGGGCCTAAAGTCTGTATCAGTCAACTTGAGCCAGCTAGGCCTCTTTTTAATAGGAATTTAAACAAACAAACAAAAACAACACCCACTTAGACGTATATAAGAATTAACACAACAGACAATGTCTCCTTGTAAGATACTAAGGTAAATTAAAAAAAAAAAAAAAGCTATCTTTAATTTTTATTGAAGATTATCAGAAATATAATAGGATAGAGAATAAAGCAAAGAAACACAATAACATTAATATTTAGGAACCAAAATATGAATATACAAAAAACTTTGGGTTGTCAGATCCTCGCTGGTATAAATCAGTGTGGGTTGACTGAAGTCAGTGGAGCTTCCATGACTTACATCAACAGAGGATCTGGTTCTAAATCTCTTGACATCCCCATTTTTAAATGAAACTTAGAAGCAATATATAGTAAGATGTATATGACATAAATTACTTATGCCATACTGTCCTTCCATTTTGTCCTAAAAACAGTTGAATGCAAAATGAGAGGAAGAATAACAAAGAGCAGGAAAGAATAAATTTTCAAACATCCATTCTTTATTCTTTGTCCTGAGGAGTGGGCAGGCATGTTGAGCATAGTGCTGCAACATGTTGAACACCTTATCTCCTCGTCTGCAGGTCTCTTCAGCATGTCCAAGGATCCTGTCCCATTATGCAAGTGAGACTTAAATCTGGGTAAAAGACACAAAGCTGTCACCCAAATTCAAGAAAAGATGTATTATACCTCAATATTGGTGGAATTACTTTCAAATACAATACATAGTGTCTCCCCAAACTCTATCACTCCTCAGTAAACGTTTTTCTAATAGTAGTGGAGTAACAGTTCTGACTTCAGAGTATTATAATACAATGATGCGAGGAACATGTACAGCACCAAAGTTAATTAACCTAAAAATAGATGGGTGTGGGCTTATAAATGGTAATATTGATAGATTTTAAAAATACATAAGCTTCTTCGGTGCCATCTATTGGCTGCAACCGTGATTGTATTAACTTTGAAAGGAGTTGTGCAAATAAGTTGCGCATATCCCACCAATTATCAGACATACTAAATGAAACTTTTTGAAGATTACTGAAGAAATTAGAATGTATGCTATAATTACTGGCCAAAATTCAGTTTCTTCTTCGAGCGCTTGCACATGTCCATTCCACTGTAGGTATGTGCGTGCCTCGATCAGTCACTGGAAATTTTTCCCTCAGTGGTACCTGTCTGGGAGGCTCAGGTGCTTTCTGGTGCTGCACAGTCATAGTGTCAGTATAAAGGGCCCAGCTGACCCCTCAATTCCTTCTTACCACCTGTAATGGTCTCTGAATCTGTTTTCTTTGCTACGGCAAGCTTTCTCGGAGGTCTTTATTTTTCTGATAGTTGTGTATAATTAATAGTTATAAATAAATAGTTTGTTTTTCTCTTTCCGTTAGCAGAGTTTTGTCTGTGCTCAGTGCCAAGGCATGTCTCGGTCACCAGGCTTCGAGCCCTGTGCCTCCTGGAACAAAGCTCTGCCCCTGAGCAAGCTGCACTCCAGTTGCTTGAAGTGCTGGGGTGAGGCTCACATCAGGGATTGCTGTCAGTTTTGCAGGGACGTTAAATGCCATATGAAGAAGGACTAGGAGGCCAGGTTCAAGTTCCTACTTATGGAGGCAACGCTGAGACCTTCCTCCCAGCCAAGCCAGTTGGACTCAGCTCAGAGCACCTCGACGTCCGTGAGGAGTGCTCCTCCAACCTTGTGAGAGTCCCAGCACTGTTTGCCATCCTTGGTGCCAAAGAAGAGGCATAAAAAGCAGCCGGCTGTGAGGAGACGTTCCCCAACAACAAAGAAAGCCAGGCATGGGGAGCGGAGCAGAACGGAGTCAAGCCACTCCTCTGCCTCAGCATTGCAGCAGTCAGCACCATTGCATCTGGTTCTGGATGAACCATCGGCACCCGAGGGACAATGTGGTACCAGCGCTATTGTGGCGCTGTCCATGCTGGAGGTGTTTGCTGCTGCCGGGGATCTGCTATTGCTGTCAGTACTGGTGTCACTGGCACTACAGGCGTTGGTGGTATTGGTGCCGGTAGGCAGGAGAGAGCATGTGGCCCCAGTTACCATCCGGTACCGGCCCCCGTGGTACCGTCCAAGGAAAAACCGACTATCCTGACCCCAACGCAGCCTTCCCTGCCTCAGCACCGATCTTTGTCACTGGTGGGAACTGCTCCTCTTTGCTCACCAGATGGAGACTCCTCGTCTTTGGAGTTGGAGGTTGGGTCATACTCCTCTCATCCAAGGAGTCAACCCCGCCACTCCTCCAGTCATCCCTACCCTGCCCTGGATTGGGGCACAGGAGTGCCATTAAGTGCTTGGCCTAGTGGTCACTGAAGCGCCTATCCTGATGCAATGGCCCTTTTGGAGCCTGTGGGGGTTTCTGCCAATCTCAGGGCCCCACTCGAGGCACTCCTGTTCCGTGGCCCCTAACAGAAGGGCTCCGCCTCCCCATCAGGCAACAGACTCCAGTACCCAGCCTGCTACCAAGTTCAAGGAACCAACTCCATGGGATCCAGTCGGCACAGAAAGGGAAGAGAAGCACCCTCAGGTGCTGATGGGGCTGTGTCAGGAGCAGGTGTGTTACCTCCCATAGATGAGTATAAGGCCCACCAGGAGTTGCTGAAGAGAGTGTCCCAAAATTTGGGCATGCAGGTGGAAGTAGTAAGAGAGTCCTCCCATAGTCTGGGCGACATTCTGGCCATGACGAGCCCATCAAAAGTAGCCCTGCCTCTCAATGAGGCCATCATAGACCCTGTGAAAACCTTCTGGCAAATCCCCACTTCCTTTCCCCACACCTCAAAGAGAGCCAAGAGGAAATACTTTGTTCCTGCCCAGGATTATGAGTTTCTGTATATTCATCCCTCCCCACCCCTCCCCGGAATCCCAAGTGTTTTCTGCTGCCAATGAAAGGGAAAGGCAGGGTCTGCAAGGTGTGGTACCTAAAGCATAGGACTCAGAAAAGCTGGACTTATTCAGTAGAAAGGTCTACTCTACCAGGTGTCTGCAGCTCAAGATTGCTAACCAGCAGGTGCTGCTCAGCTGATATGACTTGTTGAACATATGGGACTCCATGTTGAAGTTCAAAGACTTGGTATTGCAAGAGGCAAGGCTCGAGTTCTCGCTCATGGATAAGGAGAAATCCATAGCGATGGTTTCCGTGCAAGCTGCCCTGGATGCAGCAGTTTCAGTGGCCAGGTCCATGGCTTCTGTAGTGGCCAGGTCCATGGCTTCTGTAGTGGCCATGCGTAGGAGTTCAGCAATCCCTCCAGGATCTCCCCTTCAAGGAAGCTTCACTCTTTTCGGGGCAGAGTGGTGTGAAGCTTCATGGACTGAAGGACTCCAGGGCGACCCTTACGTCCCTGGGATTGTTTGTGCCAGCGACTTCAAGGAGGCACGTTTGGTCATGGATCACTTCGTGTATTCGCATGTGTTACAAGCAGGCGGGTATTCTGCCACTAGCTATCCTGACTGCCTACTCCATGAGAGTGCAAGCGTCATCAGCAGCGTTCCTAGCACAATTCCCTATTCAGGACATTTGCAAAGCAGCAACTTGGTTGTCAGTGCTTACGTTCTTTGCTCATTACACCATCACTCAGCAGTCTAGGGACAATGCCTGATTCAATCAAGCTATTTTGCAGTCAGCATGTCCATGAGTTCTCTAACTTTTATCTGTTAGCATTATTAAACCCATAGCTACACAAAGAGATTTTCTTCATTTAAAAAAAAAAAAAATACAAGGAAGCTTTTGGCTTCCAGATTGTCAAGAGTTAACCCAGTAATAGTGAATTCAGAGGAAAGAAATTTCTTTCCATCTGCCAATACCAAAACCGTTAACTGTGAAGAACAGAATGACTTGTAAAGAAAATTGAATGTCAAAGAAATAATTAAACTGTACTTTATGTGAAAACATTAATCAATCCTGCATTTCCATAATAGTTCTTCACTTGACAGCCTGGCACAGCTGATCAGCATAGTGGGCAGTAATGACCCATGATTACTTATGTTCTATTTAATAGTAAATGTAATAAGTTTGGAGCTTTGCCTTAGCATAGTTTTACAGACTGCATGCTAGGGTTTAATAGTTCATATTTTGTTTAATACCTAAATGCCCTGCTCAGCTGAATTTTACTGTTGACATCATTAAGCTACAGTATTTCTAAAAATAGACTGATTTCATAAAGACTGAAAGTTGTGGTTGAGCTATTGAACAAAAACAATTGTCTTTCAACAACGTTAATAAGTAGATGTCCTAAATTTAAGTATCGTACAGTGTGTGTTATGTAAATTTAACAGGGTTTTTAGAATGAAGACATTAAACAATACATATAGAAATAGGAAGATGAGGATATTCTTTCTGACGTAATTTCTACATGATATATATTTTACTGCATGGTCTCTGTTCTCTTCCGATAAACACATTTCTATACAAATAAGGTCTACTTTAACCTTTCTTGGTACAGTCCAGTATTCTATCTGCTTCTTAAGTTAAATGGTTATGTATAATTCCCATTACCCTTCATTTTCTTGGTTTTAAATGATACTATTCTATTTTATTATATATGTAGTGCAAATGTCTATTAATTGCATCACCTCAATAACATTCAGTATATTCAGTTAGACGGGCAAAGTCTCCTCTTTACTACAAGCTCTTCTACATCAGTTGCCCCACATGTACAATCTTTTAAAACCTGTATTCTATTTGCTTTTCTGGACTGCTTTCTCAGCCAATATGTTTCCTTGTAAAAGATCTCAAACATTATATATAATTTTAAGTATTACCTCTGTGCCTTACAGAAATATTGAAGAATACTGTATTCCTGTAACAATAAAACATACCCTGTTGTCTTTTTTACTATAGGTAAGGCTATGATTTAGTCACGGATATTTTTAGTAAAAGTCTCGGACAGGTCACTGGCAATAACTAAAAAGTCACGGCCAGTGATCTGTCAATAACTTTTACTAAAAATACTCCTAACTAAGCCTTAGGTGTTGGGGGTTTGTGCTCCAGAGGAGGCTGCTGCTCCTTGGGGGTGGGAGGCGGCCCAGGGTCCTGCAGACGCTGCTGCTCCTGCGGGGGGGGGGGGCGTGGCCTGTGAAGAGCTTGCTGCACTCACTTGCCCATTTTTTGTATAGGGTTTCCTTTAGGATAATCCATCCACTTTCCCTATAATGTAATCTCTTCTGAATGGCTTCCTCTTTATGGTGACTTGGACAGACACATCACAGGTGCTGCCTATCCACACAACCCCCCCAATCCCTTGTGCAACAAAAATGCTTAATCCATTCCATAGACTATATACAAATACATGTAGTCTGGACCTGTTACCTTTGGCTCCAACACACAACAGGCCAGAGAAGTTCTCACGCTGAATCTCATGAGGATTGAAGGCAGAAAGAGAGTATTTTTTGGCTGGGGGAATACAGATATGTTGAAACAAGCTATGAGGAATCTAATAGAGACTCATGTTTTTCTCCACAAATTTTCTTTCTGATAGTATATTTTGAAATCTCTGAATTTAGAAAATTTGTATTTCCTCACTATTACTTTGCTCAAGATGTATTTCATATTTATTTTCATGTAACCAAATATTTGTCCATGTACTTGTCATGGTATCGGAATACATTAGTAATGTGACAGCTCACTAGCCCAGAGCCATGAATCTAAATTTTCATTTTTTATTACATCAGTTTAAGTTTTCCTCCTTTGTTTTCCTTCCATTTTCCTGTTTTCTGTAAAGAATACTATATATGAACACTTAGGGGAAGAAATCTCAAACTGTCATGTACAGAGCAAAAATATGCCAGGGAATATAGAGGTTGGGTCTAGCCTTATTACACTCAATTCTGATTTCATTACCTTCCAAAACTGGTTTCTAATATTAGTATCCAGATGACTACCCTTACTTGAACTTGTGTGTCATTATTCCTCATGCTGTATACAGTGTAAGTACTTACGTATACACTATGGTACACTTAAGAGTGATTAATTTCAGACTTTTATCAAAATCATGTAAGACTAACTTCAAATGCGTGGTATCTGTTAGCACTAAACACTGATAAATATATAGTATATGCCATTGTTAGCTGGTGCTGTTTTGCGTCATCTCACTTGTTAATGATGATGCTAGTTTGAGTTAGATACCTCCACAGCTTTTTACATTTTATATGTAAGAATCTGATATTTCATCTTTCACTTTCAAGTCTGCTTAAGTATAAAGAATTTGAGTTACTTTCCATATTTTTATTAGAAAAAATAAAAATGTTTAAAAACTATGTGGGATTGGGCTACAAAATACTTTTTCAACCATTATCTTTTAAAAACATTCTGGAGTTATGCTGATAATTACCTACCTCATCTTCTGTCTGCCATTAATGTATGGAATTGTTCAGATTTAATTTTCACAAAAATTAGACACACGGACAGGAAAAAGCAAAAGGACTCAATCTAATGTAGGCTGAAAAGTCAACACCCCTTTAAAATTGCTACATCTTGTTGAGAATATTCTCTGGAGTCAAAATGTCCCTCTCCTAAAAGGAGACCAAACTATTAAGATATAAAGATAAGTTTAAAAACAAACAAACCCTACTATTTACATAGGATGTACTCTGAGGAGTGAAAGTAAGTTTACAGTCTAGAGCTCTCTCTGCTCCTTCTGCAGCAACATTAAATTCACATAAACCTCTACCTCGATATAACGCGACCCGATATAACACTAATTTGGATATAACGCGGTAAAGCAGCGCTCCGGGGCGGGCGGGGCTGCGCACTCTGGCTGATCAAAGCAAGTTCGATATAACGCGGTTTCACCTATAACGCGGTAAGATTTTTTGGCTCCCAAGGACAGCGTTATATCGGGGTAGAGGTGTACCCTATTCTCAGAACTATTCAGGTATCTTTTGTGCCAATTCAGTAGACAAAAACCTATTTACTAGAGCTAGTCAAGAAAAATGTCATGAACATTTTTTGTCTGAATTTCTGACTACCTGTATTGAAATTGGAGCATTCCACAGGACAATGTCGATTTTGATGAAATTCCACTGAAAACTAGGTAGGTTTCTGATGGAACTCTGTGAGCAAAACAAGTTTCAAAACTTGCCTTATTCCTACCAACTCCCTTGTTCAGCAGCCTGGCTGGCTGGCAGAGAACCTGAGTCTGAGCACCGGGGCTTCCAGGGCCCCGGGTTCCAGGACAACCTGCCATGTAGACTGCCTAGGAGTCAGGACTTATAGATCTGGGCAGAAAATAGTAATTCCATTTCCCTACATATTGGAAATTTTGGGGGATTTTCACAAATCGGAACAAAACACAATTTAGAAATCTTGAAATCCTCTGTGAAACAGAATGATCATTCTCTGCCTAGCTATGTTTACTTTCAGTGTATCTGTTCAAGCAAAGTTTGGGGACCAAATAGAAAAGAAATACCTGTTAAGTTGCTAAGAGGAGGATTGCAAGTATGAGAATGTAGGAGCTTGGGGGTTTTAAAGGAAAACATTATCTTTTGAAATAAAATCACGTTTTTAATAATAATGTTCATTTGTAGTATTACATTTGTTTAGTGCAAGGTAAAGTAAACTATCAAAGTCTGTTCTCAAATAAATTTTATTTCTTTAGCTTTTGTTCTTTTCAATTTTTTCAAACCCATAGTGTTTTATTTCTAACCTTCAAGCTAATATATACCATATTTGACATAGTTTTATTTTCAAGGACCTCTTTCAGACCTAATTTTTTCTGTTCTTTCCTTTATTCCCCTCTTTTACTGAATATAGTTACGCATAGCACAAAATTGTTCAGTTTATCAATGTCAAGTTTCGTAAGCTACTGTGAGAACATACTCCTCTTTAATATGCATATTTGTATGAAGGATTTTTGTTTGATGCAAAAATTAACCCATCAAAACTTGCATTGAAGATACATTTTGAAAAGATATGGGAGCAGTAAATATTGACAGGTAACTTAATGTTTTGTAGACAACTTAATGTTGCTTAAGACAGTTTGTAACTATTTTTAAATAAAAATGGTTACATCTAAAATGTCATGCTGTTCTTAATTTTGATTCTTGTCTAATATAATAATACCAGCTCTTATCAGGCTCTTCATCAGTAGAGTTCAAGGTGCTTTACAAAGAAGGGCCAGTGTCATTATCCCTTTTTTACAGATAGGGAAATGTAGGCATGAAGAGGTGAAATGACTTGCCCAAGGTCACCCAGCAGGCTAGTAACAGTGCCAGGAATAGAATCCAGTTATTCTGAGTCCCAGTCTAGTGCTGTACTGGGTTACACTGCATCTAAGTGTATCATTATTAATTCTTCTCTCCTACAGTGGTTTTGTTCTCATTCCCATTACTTGATTCTTGCATACTGATTGTTTCCTGTTAATGGCTATGAAAAATAAAATCTGAAAATTGATAGATTACTGTCTTATTATCATTCCTGTTACATTGTGTAGGGAGGTTCTCTTTTATAGAGTCTAAATGTGTTTATAAAAAAATTCATTCCACACTCACTGAGCATATTTGGGGTTATAACGTATGTTATAATGTGGGTGGTTAAAATTAGGTTTACTTGCTTGAAAGATAACCTACAAAATCATCCAGAAGAGTCTTACAACACTCTGATCGTGTGAATTGGACTATGTGTAGAACCTGCAGTCTACCAACTACAAAATGTAATACAATAAATGTATTGGCATTTATTATATTAAAAAAAATCTTTTTACAAGTTATATCTATAGTTTAATATTAAAGGGTTCTAAAGTCATGGAAATGTGTACCGTGTTTTGTTTATCGCTAAATGAACATCCAAAGATCTTGTAAAATTTAAGACTGTTAATACTTACCTCTAAAATGCATTTAGTCTGAGCCTGGTAAAGTGCATAACTTTCTTCTCCTTTAGAATGAAGTCACCCTGCTGAGAAATGAAGTGGCACAGCTGAAACAGCTTCTTCTGGCTCATAAAGATTGCCCTGTAACTGCCATGCAGAAGAAATCTGGCTATCAGAGTGAGTAATGTTCCATTACCTATAGCCTTAGGCTGCATCAGTGAAATACAGCCAAAGTGAACTGAGCAACCATTAAAAATGAGAAGTGCAGTTATAATATTTAACAATAAATATATAAAATTCTGCAAGCTTATTGCAAGACAGGAATGAATGTATGATAGTTTGAAGCTATTTTTCTAAATGCTTTCAGTTTAAAAAATGTTGTAGATTATCTGAAATTTAAAGACATTATAGAAAAACCAACCCAAACTAAGTGTATACCCATAATTACTACTAAAGGACTGTAAGCTGCAATACCTGCTTCTAGTATATACAATTAAAGTATTGACAGTATATGGTGAACAATCTCTGTAATGCATTATCTTAAATAAGATGAAAGGTCCTTGTTTCTTCCATTTCATAATGAGATTTCCATGGAGGGGAGGGTAACAGCTGTCCTTATTTACTAGCACATCCAGGATCAGTCAACCCATTAAAATAATCAGATGCAGGTTCCTTGCTCTTACTGTATGCTGTCCCTGAGATTGTTTTGACTTATGACAAAGTGTTATTTTAAGAATTTAAAATGTTTGAATTTTTAAAATAGGATTCTAATAGTGAAGGACTTAGAATTCTCAAGTTAAACTGAAATCAGTAAAACTGTTAAATTTTAAGGAAATGAAATTTGTTCACTTAATTTTTCACTTTTTAGGCATTTTAAAGGTTAATTGTCCTTTTCTTACTTCTAACTTCTTTTTTTGGATATGATGCACAGAGCTAGAACCAGCTGCTGCTGTAGAATAAATGGCCAATTTTGTCCATTGTACACAAATTCGTAACAAATAACTGAGCTGGGAATGCATTAGGCAACATTCATAATATATAACCCACAGCTTTCGTTTTTATGATTTAGTGATATTTCAGGATATTTGTAAATGTGAAGATTGTTTCTGCCATATGTAGCCACTTCATTTTAATTTGCCAGTGTCAGTAATTCGGGAGAATAAAGGAACATTTTGTATTGCATGCAAACAGTTCCTCAGGTGCTTGCGATAAAACTTAATGGCCACCATCTTTACTTGTAGTCATTGTAAGCAGTTTCATCAGAATGGGCAATATTTTTTAATTTAAAAGATTCAGGAGATTTTAGCAACTCTCTGTTGCCATATATATTTAGAACACTGATTTTGTCAGTTTTGAGCTTATAAATCTTAGTCCTTTGATCTCCAGTCATTTTGACAGGATGGAAAATAGCATCTTGGAGTAAATTGGAACCATATAGAAATATGTTCGGGATTTATATTAACAATGATTGCTGCAGGGATGAGGCCATTATGGCTCCCATCTGACAGAACAACATAATTTCATATAGAAGCTACTAGGGGATACCATTATGCATGCATGGTTTTCCTAAACAAGCTAGGTTTCTTGAATTTTGATAGCTTGAAGATACATGTGTTTCTCTAGATTTGCATGAACAATTATTAAAAGTATTCATTTTTGAAATAGACTGGCAGATAATTACAAATTAAGGATTTTTTTCATTAAAATACTAAAAACTAAATGTTTAGTAATATTGTTGAAAAAATGCTATAGTATTTATAAATCGCTGCAGATCTTGAAGTTCTTAGGTTTGTCTTCATTATAAAAGTCAAAGTAAAACTAACTCACTACTAACCAGAACAGAGAATGTAAAGTTGCTAAAATATCTATCATTTGAAAAAAGGAACTACATTTTAAAAGAAGTATCAAAAGATGTTCAGAAGGGAACGTGCAGACATAGTTCACTTAATATTTTTGTAAAGCCTTTGGCACAGTGCCACACAAAATAATGATCTACAGGATTAGTGTAATGAGTAATATGGCATGGGGATGAGCTAGGTATGTAAGTGGATAAAGAATGCGCATAAACACTGAACTCTTGTCTCACTGTGTATAAGTGTTATGTCCAAAGCACTTCACAGTAGCTCTGAGAGAATTAAATAATATCTTAATTTTACAGATATTGGGGCAACACACACATAGATAAAGTGACTTGTGCAAGACTATATGATGAATCATAGCAAGAATCAATTAAAATGGTTTTAGTTAATGTTTGTGGTTGTGGCGTGAATAGAAAATAACTTCAAATCTTTAAAAAACAAATTTTAAAAGTTATGCCCTATCTACATCAGCAGCATGACCATGTTACTTTTTAAAAAGTGTTAAATAGTTTCTTATCATGTGTGGTATAGAAGAGACAAAGAGGCAGAATTAGAATGCTCCTGCAGTGCAAGGTATCATGTGCTGCTGAGACAGTTAATTTATACCCTGCGGACATGGCTTTAACAATTCGATACACAATTTAATGGAGTTTCACTTAAAACGTACTTCAACAGGCACAAGCAAACAATGGCATTGCAGAATTTTTTGACACTTATTTAGGTATCTTTAAAAGATCTTTTGAACAACTTCTGCTTCACATAGAGTGAAAAGCACAAGTACTAAGGTCCCTCTTTCTTGCTAGCATTTTCAGTTACTTTAAGTACCTTTCACCTGCTTCCGAGAGGTGGTGATGACTGAGAAACCAGAAAAGACAAAAAGAGAAGTGATTACATTTCATGAGGCTGTTTGGAGGAAACCTTGGTGCAGTGCAAGAGTTGTCAGCCAAGTATAAATTTATGTCCTTCCCAAGCAGATATGCTACTGGTCAATTGTTTGGGAAATTTCTTGAACAAGCCCTTAAGGACTTAAACAAAATTTTAAAATTGTATGTGTAATCTACAAGAGAAACCTAAACCCTACGTTTTCTACCCATAGTCCCATCTGAGACGCAGTTTCAGGAATACGCTGCGGCAAAGCCTATATAGTCTCTCTTATATAAGCCTATATAGGCTCCTCTTAGTGTGGAGGATGGGGAGAAATGAGGGAGGATGAATAGTCGTGAAGGGGCAGAGAGTAGTTGGAGAGTTGTAGGTGTGAGGATATTACTTCTGTTTGTTTGCAAAGATTCAGGAAGCTTCCCGAACACTAGATGATTGCAATTTAGTAAAGCTTAATAAAAATAGGGGCTATAATCCATTTACGATTGAATCAAAAAATTTTGATTCCTGCTCTAGTTAATTGTAAAGAAACAATTGGGGTCTAGCCATTATAATAATTATGTCAATCCATTGCCTACAAATTGTTCAGGATAAGTCAACCCCTTCAGTGATTTAGCCACCACTCTAGAGAATTTTCTGGCTACCGTAGACTTGCCTAGATGTTGACCTAAACATTCCCATAGTCCCCATGCACCAGCAGTATCTGGTTTTATCTCTGGAGACTTCATCTTCAGTATTGTCTGAAGTATCTGTCCGTTCTGTGCATTTGCACCAACCTTATACAAGCTGTCACAACTGTATAATAACTGACTTTTTCGGTTTGCTGGCATTTTCAGAAAAAAAAAATCAGCAAATGAAAAATTTGGGGGGGGAAAAAATTGGAAAGAGTGAAATGTTTCATTTGACCCAAACATTTCATTTCACTTTTGAGCTTTATCTTTTTAAAATAAAATTGAAGGAAATCTAAAACAAAGTCATTTCAAATAGAAAAATCACAATTTTCATTTAGAAAATATGAAAATGTTGCTTTATTTTTTCAGGGTTGTGTTTGTTTGGTTTTTTTTAATAGAATTTTATAACTAAAACAATATAGCAAAATTCACACATTCCCTAAATGTTTTGATTGACCCAAATTTCCAGTTTTGGTCAATAAACTTCAACCAGCTCTAGTCATACCACACCTTTGGAAGAAAGTGTTTGCAATTTTTTCCCATTTGGATGACTGACTAGTGCAGAGGTGGGCAAACTACGTCCTCCCCGGCCCCTGAGCTCCTGGCCGGGCAGCTAGCCCCCCAGACCCTCCCCTGCTGTCCCCCCCTCCCCCGCAGCCACACCGCCGCTCAGGCAGCGCTCTGGGCGGCAGGGCTGCACGCTCATGCAGGGCAGCGTGGCAGTGTGTGTGGCTCCAGCTGGGAGGCGCAGCTCCAGACATGCTGCTCTGAGCAGCATGCTAAGGGGGCCGGGGCCTTGGATATGGGGAAAGGGGTCCTGGGGGGCAGTCAGGGGACAGGGATCAGGAGGCGGTTGGATGGGGCAGAGGTTCGGGTGTGGGGCAGGGGATGGGGAACAGGGGGGATTGGATAGGGGGTGGGGTCCCGGGTAGGCCCTATCATGGGTCAGTAACTGGTTAAAAGATAGGGGGAAAGGGTTAGAAATGAACAGTCAGCTTTCTCGATGGAGAAAGGTTAATAGTGGTGTCCCCCATGGATCTGTACTGGGACCTGTGCTGTTCAACATTTTCATAAATGATCTGGAAAAAGGGGTGAACATGAGGTGGCAAAATTTGCAAATAATACAAATAATAATACAACTCCAAAGCTGACTATGAAGTTAGAAGGATCTCACTAAACTGGGTGACTGGGCGAGAAAATGGCAGATTAAATTCAAAGTAATGCACTTTGGAAAAAATAATCCCAACTGTACATTCAAATTGATGGGGTCTACACAAGCTTTAATTACTCAAGAAAGCTATCTAGGAGTCATCATGGATAGTTTCCTGAAAACATCTGTACAGTAGCAATAAAAACAAACAAACAAACCCCAAAACTAACAATGTTAGGAACCATTAAGAAATTGATGATAAAACAGAAAATATTATAATGCCACTTTAAAAATCCATGGTATGCCCACACCTTGAATTACTGCATGCAGTTCCATTCGGCCCATCTCAAAAAGATGTATTAGAATTTGAAAAGATGCAGAGAAGGACAACAAAAATTATTAGGGGTATGGTACAGCTTCCATGCAAGAAAAAATTAAGAAGACTAGGGCTGCTCATCCTAGAAAAGAGACGACTACCGGGGGATATGACAGAGGTCTAAAAAATCATGAGTGATATGGAGAAAGTGAATAGGGAAGTATTATTTAGCTATGCACATAACACAAGAACTATGGGTCATATAGGCAACAGGTTTAAAACAAACAAAAGGAGGTACTTCTGCACACAATGTACAGGGCCGGCTCTGGCTTTTTCGCTCGTTAACATTTCTTTGGAATACATTTGCAAGGCTGCTTACTTGCATGTTTGTATGACTTTGCTTCTATTCAAACAATACTATGTAAAGGGTTACTTTCTGTCTCTGAAAATAATCCCTTCTTAGTATGGATAAAGGACTGCAATAAAGATCTCATTATGTTGTGGAATTGACTTGCTCATCAGTGAATTTTCATTCTTGCAACTGGTATTCCTGCACTGAAAAAAACCTCAGCCCACAATAATTTACCTTCAAGGTATTTTTGTTGTCCGTGCTCAGTGTTCATTCTTAGTTATTATTATAAACTTTGGTGTATCCTTCCTTGGACACTTTGTTTGTGTCTGTCATCTTTGTTATCCTTGTCTTTGTTTGTGTCTTTGTCTTTTTAGTTTTGGATTCAGTTTTTCTATGCATACCCTATTCAGTAAAAATCTTTATTTTGATTGCACCATTTTAGAATGGAGCTCTTTTCCTCCTTAACTTCTAGCCAGGTAACTATCTCCATTTTAGTTAAGTGCAAAAGTAAATGCTTTGGGAGTTGTCATGGGAGACTCAAGCAACATTCTAGGAAGCTTAGGATGGTACCAAAAACTCTTGCAGTTAAATTTATCATTCACACCTTCCATTTTTATATGAGCAAAAACCAGTTGTGAACGGAGATTATTTTATCTGAAAGATACCACTTACAGGTAAAAATTTGACTTCCACAATTTATTATCACTTGATAATGTCTGTTCAACAATCTGACTAATCAAAAATAGAGAAGAAGAGATTTAATTAAAATACTAATTAATTTACCAATTATCACCTGTAAAAATAAAAGTTTCATGTCTAAACAATGTTCTCATCTAAATATATATGTTTATCAGATAATCTATTAAGTGGATTTCACTTCTCATATTGGCTTCCTTTTCTCCTAAAATGCCTTATATATATGAACTTTCTCTGCTTTAAATGAAAGGTCTGTGTTGTAAAATATAACTGATGCATTTATTGAAAGAATAATTCCTGTTAAATCGTGCCTCTGTATTTTAAAAAAAAAAAAAAAAAAAACCACCACACACACACACACTAAATTTGCAAAGCAAGAAGTTTTGTTTTTTCAATACTTGGGTTTTGTGATCATAAAAAATTATGGGTAATTCATTTGAGTACTTCATTGATTCAGAGCAAGTCAAACAGAAGAAGTTCTTGGATGTCTTCTGAATTTTAAAGACTTTTATGTCATGCATTAATTAACTCTTATTGGCAGATATTTAAGTGCTAAACAAAACTAATTGAATTTCACCCTGTTGAAAGAATGAAGATTTTGCATATTGAAAACTTTATTGTCCAACTGAGCAATAGTAATTTACTGTATTACAGAGAGTGATTTTCATAAACATTATTAATTATCAAACTGAGAATGATCTCTTGCTGAATTACTAGTCAAATGCAGTATCTTGTGGTTTTTAAAAAATCTGAATCTAATTAATTTACATAACTATAGAACAGCTGGTGGCATTTAGACTATAAACTATAGACTATTGTTATTCTCATGTGCGTGCATCATTAGACTCAGGTGTTGTAGTCATCAGTCGCTGCACTAGATGGAAAATCAACCAAAATTAACTGTGGTTTTAAATAGATGGGAATAATCATTTGAAAATGTACCTGTGTCCATAAATATTCTAACATTCTATCCTGGTTTTTGTTTATAGAAAAATACAAACAAGTTACCTGTTCATCTTTATATATAAAGCAATTATACTAAAAATAAATGTTTGACAAATGTCTTTTTATATGTGCTATTAATTGTGGTTATTTATAGGACTTATTGTTATCTGAAAAATTTTTATGCATATTTTAGAAAAAAACAGCAAGTGAATTTTTTTTCTTTAGCTGCAGATAAAGATGACAGTACTGAAGACATTTCAGTGCCAAATAGTCCACATACAGAAGCTATTCAGCATAGTTCTGTCAGCACTTCCAATGGAGTAAGTTCAACCTCCAAGGCAGAAGCCGTAGCCACGTCAGTTCTCACCCAGATGGCGGACCAGAGTACAGAGCCAGTGCTTTCACAGATTGTTATGGCTCCACCTTCCCAGTCACAGCCTTCAGGAAGTTGATTAAAAACTTGCATTGCAACAGTTTCTTAGATATACATTTGTGACTTTAAAGGGAAATCAAGACCAGTCTCCATCTAAAAAGATATGTAGCTTAAAATTATTCATTTTTAAAATTCAAATTTAAATTTGGCTTTAAAGATTGTCAGATGGGCAGATGAAGAGGAGACTGAACAGCAGTTTCTAGTCTCCTTGCAGAAGATGGATTTTTTTTTTAAAGTTGATTTACTAGTTATTTTCTGTGCTCAATGTGTAAAGTGTGTGTAAAGTACAATGTGGTTTATTTCACTTTTAATTTGGTATTATTTCAATCAACATTGGGGTGAATTATTAATGTGCATCCCCAAGACTGTGATAGTAATATTATGTGACATTTTATACCAAAGTTCTGCATAGTCCCTATTGACTTTGTAATTGTTAGCAAGGTCATAAAGCACTAGGCAAGAGAAAAAGACAGTAACAGTACATTTGCTTTTAGTCTTTTTGCCTTTTTATTGTTTTGCACATAATGAGAGAGAGAACATTGGGAGAAAATGTTTGCTTTATATCATGTGTAGCATTTTGTTTGGCTTATTAACTGTTTTGGTTGGTTAGTTGTTTTTTAAATTGTTTAACAGGGCCAGTATGGTGTAGGGACATACAGTACTTTTATGCACATACCTAAACTAGATGAGGGTCATTACTAACTAGATTTTCTTTAAAAACTGATGCCAATTTTTTCAACACTTTAATTTTAAAAGGGGAGCTTTATTTCTGCTGTCAAAACAATGGTCTGCAAATACCCTTTGAGGCTAGGCTAGTACAAAACAGTAAAAAGATATCGTACAATACAGGGTTATCAAATATGGAATAATTTTCATAGCTAGCTTGATACTTTGTGGATTTTTGAATCACCGACTAAGGAGTTTACTCATACACAAGTATGGATGCCAGAAAAGCCTAAAAAACCTTTGTTAAACAACACTTTTTTCCTTCTTCTTTGTCATTGTCTTGTATTTGCAAGCTAACTTGTACTTAATTCTTGTGTAAGCACTGTCATCTTTTAGTAGCAAAATTTTGATACCTTTCTTGTGGAAAAATCAGTATCTACCATATCTTGGAAACAATGTAATTATAATGTGGTGTGTATGTGTGCGTATGTGTGTGAGAATGGTTCAGTAGTTTATGCCAGCAATCTTTGCTTGAATGTTTAAAGATGCCTTCAATGTGATGCTGGCTGATAGATTGCAGTTTAAAAATGTTATTTACTGTGCGAACTTGGATAACTAACATTCCATGATGTATGTTTGTTTCTGATGAGATGATTGTAGGTACACTTTTTCTCATTATCCAATCATCTGTAGGATATTGAGTTTTTTAAATGTGCCATTACCTATTTGGATTCTGTACTCATGTTCAAAATACAGTACAATATTTTACAATAGATTACGTTGGGGAAAAAAGTAGATGTGTGCTTTCAGGTCAGAAAACTTTGTACAATAGCTAAAGAGTAGCAAATTTTGGCAGTCAGACAGGATTCCATTATGTATATAACAAAGATTTAATGCATTTATAATGGGTTGTGTAGTTCATTTTCTCTTCCTTCTCCATGCTACACTGTTTTAAATCTCAGTGCTATCAAATTCCTTATGAGATTCATTTTTAAATCTATGAAATGTAATTGGTAATACAGAGGAAGAACATAATTTGTATAATATACAACCATACTATAATCAAAACTGGACAAAGACATATCTGAATTGTGTGTATATCATTTCAGTGCTGTAAGTGTGAAAATAATAGGAATTCTAAATATTTTGTATTTTAAAAACAAGGAAGTAATTTTTGAGTTGATAAACCCATATGTTTAAATACTTTTACCAGTTTCATGGGGGAAAAAGTTAGTTACTGAAAAATTCCACAATGGTAAAATATACCATAAGTCTTGTGAGAAAGGAATTTATCTCAAAGGCACAAAATGTGAATTATGCAGGAAAGCTATACAGTTACTACTTTTCATTGTAATTTTGGTGAACTAGGTAAAACCTCATTGGTTACATTTTCATTCTCTCTCCTAAACACTAGGCATTTTTTATCTTATTTATGCAAGTGAATTTTTTTAATAAAACTGTTGTGCCTGTAAAATAAGTCTACATAAGTGTGAGGAGACATGTAAGCATTTAACGAATGGGGTTGGGAAAAGAACCATAATAAATATGTCTGTGTTCATCAAATAGAGAAAACAGTTATTAGTTGTACAACCATGAATTCTGTTTTGAGACATATGTCGCACTACTTCTGTACTTATCATTTCGAGTCTTTACATTTGAACATGTTTCACAAACTGTACTGTTTTCTTTATGTGCAGTTTGCATGAGTAAATCATCAGAGAATAATCTTTAAATTATGTTCCTATTTTAATGAAATTACAACTGTTCTAAAAAGGTAGTGGTGTACTCAGACTTCTTTCTGTACGGGTTTTTTTCTCCAATGGTTGTTAGCATTTATGTGGAACTCATTACCAGAATGTCAATGTAACATTAGATAAATGTAGAAGAACATCCCTGTCTTCTAGAGAAGGAGTCAAATTCCATTCCTCTACCCTTGGATTCAAACCACTTTGTTTAGAGGAATTATTCTTACATCATTAGTTCCAGGAGCAGAAGATGGGCATCAAAAAGGAGTCCAAGATGGCCCGTAGGTCACTGATGTGATTCAACCTGATTTCTGTTGGCAGTGAGTTGCAGAGCAGAGTTTAATGTTTTTTTATTTTTCTTTTTTGTGTGTCTCAGCTAATAATCTGTAAAGTTACAAAAGTAAAATAAATCTACAACTAACTCTTATAATCCCTTAATAAACACAGTAGCTATGTAGAAAATAGAGGTGGGCAAATACTACAAAAATTATGAGCATTCAATCAAATTTAAAAATAAAATGTTCCCCTTTTGTTTGCTTTTTCAGAACATTTGGGTTGGTTAACTTTTATTCTCATAAATGTTTGTGGAAAGCATATTACAAGTTTACATGCTCACCCTGAAAGTGGTGCATTCTGTATGGGTCACCCCTTAAAGTATAGAGATATGATTCCCAAAATCTCTCCACAGAGCTCTGATACAGAGGCAGTAAAACAAGACAGAAAGGAACCTGACTGCATGCATCCTTTGCAGCTACATTTGCACACGCAATTATTTTGTTTAAATGTGATGAGAAAATTCAATTGAAATTCTTCACGTAGTCATTCATTCTTACAGAAGTTTAATATAGGAAAATTGCTTCAAACAAGGCCTTCATGATAAAGAAAGAGAAATGTAACATTTTTCTATTCTTGCTTTTCTCCTGGAGACATTCAGATACCCTTTTGCTTCATCAAACTCCCTTCCTGATTATATGAATTACGTTCACCACCTCAGGAAAGAGAAACAATACCATCACTTTTATGTGACAAATCACGTCACCACCATTGTTCAAATATTGAGTGTAGGGTCAGACCTAAGTAAATAATTGATTTTTTTTGGTTCTGGGGCCAAACTGGGGAGGGAAAAAAACTGTTTTGGTTTGAACTGAAACTGGATTTATTTGTTTTTTCTTGCAGGAACAAAAAACTTGAAAACATTACATTCAACCCAAAAATCGTTTCGTAATTAGCTAAATTTCTTTACAAAATGGATTTTAAAATGTTTCATTTCAAAATGGTTCAAACACAGTTTTAACATTTAGTGTTAAAATGGCTGAAAGAGTTTAGATATTTTTAAAATATTTTCCGTTTCTTTTTCAGCTGTTGATTTTCAGTAAGTCTTGGTACCCCAAGGAAGCTCTAGAAGACAGGAAGAAAGTTCATGTGCCAATATTTAAAAAGGGTGAGCAGGATGAACTCTGGTAATTATAGGCCTGTCAGCCTGACATCAATCCCATGCAAGATGATGGAGCAGCTGATACAAGACTTGATTGATAAAGAATTAAAGAAGGGTAATATAATTAATCCCAATAAACATGGGTTTGTGTCAAACTAACTTGATATATTTTTTTTAATGAGATTATAAGTTTGGCTGATAAGGGAATAGTGTTGATGTAATATACTTAGATTTCTGTAAGGCATTGATGAGAATAATATAAAATTAACATGGCACACGTTAAATAGATTAAAAGTTGACTAACTGATAGGTTTTGAAATGTAATTGTAAATGGAGAATTATCAAATGGTTGTTTCCAGTGAGGTCCCACAGGGATCAGTTTGTGGTTCTATGCTATTTAACATTATCAATGGTCTGGAAGAAAACATAAAGTCGTCATTGATAAAGTTTGCATTTAGGAGTGGTAAATAATGAAGAGGACAGGTCACTGATACACAGAGAGATCTGGATCGCTGGATATATGGCTAGCTATAAATTATACTTCTAGGAACAAAGAACATAGGCCATACTTACAGGATAGGAGACTATCCTGAGAAGCAGTTAGTCTGAAAAAGATTTGGGGGTCGTAATCAATAATGAGCTGAACATTCCCTTCCAGTGCAATGCTGTGGCCAAAGGAGCTAATGGGTCCCTGGATGCATAAATGTTAATCTCTAGGAGTGGAGAGGTAATTTTATCTCTGTATTTTGCACTGGTGCAACTGCTGCTGAAATACTGTGTCCAGTTTTGTGTCCACAATTCCAGAAGTGTGTGGATCAATTGGAGAGGGTTCAGAGAAGAGCCACAAGAATGATTAAAGGATTAGAAAACCTGCCTTACAGTGATAGAATCAGAGAGTTCAATCTATTCAGTTTAACAGAGAGAAGATAAAGGAAGTACTTGAGTACAGTCTATAAGTACTTACGTGGGGAACCAATATTTAATAATGGTCTCTTAAATCTAGCAGAGAAAGGTATAACACAATCCAATGGCTGGAAGTTGAAGCTAGAAAAATTCAGACTGGAAATAAGGTGTAAATTTTTAACTGAGAATAATTAACCATTGGAACAGTTTACCACGGGTCATGGTGAATTCACAATCACTAGCATTTTTTAATCAAGATGGGATATTTTCTAAAAGATATACTGTCGGAATTACATTGGGGAAATTCTTTGGGCTGTATACGCAGGAGACTAGATGATCACAATGGTCCCTCTATAAATCTGTTAAGCTGTTTGCTGAATTTGATCTGAGTTTGTGAATAGTTTCCCCCCAATTTATTGGCAAATTTACTATTTGCCCCCAAAAAATTGCCAGTCAGAGGCGGTCTTCACTTCACTGAAATAACTGTCTTTGGTTAGTTACAGCAATGAGCAGTCAAATGGAGCTTTTTCTGCAGCCTGTATACCTGGAGTCTGATTTGACGTGTCAGCTTTTTTTGAAGCCTATATATGCTGCAAGATACTCCGCATCACAATGCAAACCAAAAAGTTTATGGAAGTATAAGTTTTATATCTCCCTAGAACAAACTTGTCACATATGGATTACGTACTGCATTTTTAGATTTAATTAAAATATGTTCTGGAATGACTTTGCAAATACATCACACTATTACAGAATTTTCGGTGTGGCATGAAATTTAGCAGTGATGCAGAAATCAGGAGCCCTTGCAACTGAATTTGGCTTGTGAGCATCACACAGGGCCCTGCCTCCAAGTTATAAAAAATAAAGCATGACTGTGCCTTTAAGAGAGGCTTTTTAATCTCCCAAGTGTACGGCTGGTATAGGTCGATCACTTAATAGAATTACAGTTTATATATTAACGACTTGATAGTTTTTAATTTATTTCATTTGCTGTAAAACATCTCCCCATCATCTTTTGCCATTTTTGTAATGGCATTCCATATTTTATTTGCTGTACCTGCACATAATTCTTTTCTGTTAACTTTTTTGGGGTAGGGGGTGGGGTAGGGGAAGGAGAGGTCTATACATTCTTCAGTTACTCAATAAAGCCACATAGTTAATTTTTATCTCAGAATGAAGATTTAATCGGAAAAATGCAGTGAAATGAGTATGCAAGAGCAGTCATTGTTATAGCATGCCTAAACAAAGTGCCAGTAATTTAGACAACATACAGGCTGACTGAAAATGGGGTAATAAATATAAAGGATACAGAAAAGCATGAAGCAATGAAAGGAAGTCATGATTCCCAGAATGCCTTCACCAATTGCGAACAGGAGGAAAGTGGCTGCAGGGGGAGAGGCGCAATGGTATTTATAATCTGTAGGGGGTGGCAAGTGGTGACCTAAAAATGTGGGTGACATTCAGCCTGGCCACTGTTGTCCTTTAGGGTCAATGTTTTTACAGCTTCGGGAGTTCTGTCAGTCTCACCCTGGAAGATGAGCTCCAAGAGGGGGAATCCTGTCAGAAAGAGATCTTCAGGGTAGCAGAATTGCAGGTAAATTTTCCCTTATATGCACGTACGTTGTCAGAAAATGGAGCCCTAAATCTTGTTGAACAAATTTGAATGACAGCATTTAAATCTTAAATTTTACAGAATAAACTGGTCTGTCAATAGTCAAGGAAGGAATTCTTCCACCTGTTTCCACAGCTATATTGGCTAGGAGTATAAGAGACATTTCTGTCTGACTCTTTCTGAATTACTAGTATTAGGTCACTGCTGGAAACAAAATACTACCCTAGATAAACTGGTCTGATCAATTGAAAATTGAATTGTTTCAAAAAGCAGCTTATTTTTGGCTTCCATGATATTTAAAATAAAATGAAAAATTACAGCTAAATAATATATAGAGAGAGGAAATTTAAACAGCAGAAAAAGACTTAAGGTAGATGTAGTTACTACTGATACCATATTAGACAGTCAAATGTATCCTAGGGACAATAATAATGAATTTAAATTTCTTCAGTGTATATAGTATTTATAATCAAAAGTTATAAAATTGTTTGATCACACTTCAGGTAAGTGTTATAAAATAGCCATGGATACATATTTTGTATTGTGAAGGATATGTTTAAGGAATTTTAAATGCATGTTAGGGCAAGTCAACACTACAAAATTAAATCAACCTAAGTTATGCAACATACCGCTCCCTCAGTAATTAAATCGCTTTTCCATGTCCACAGTACACTGCTTGTGTCCGCGGCATGCGTCCTCACTACCAGCGCTTGTATTGATGGAGAGAGCAGCGCCCCGTGGGTGGCTATCCCACAGTGCAACTCATCACCATCTAGTGCAGGGTGTTTTGGGAAGGGCTTGCAGTGCCTCATAGGGACAAATGAGTCATGCAGGGGTGACTGGGAGCATGGTTTAAACATCCCATGATGCAGTTTTCTCCATCCCATAATTTTATCTGCATCCCATAATGTTTTGTGCCTCTTTTCAAAAGCCCTGCAAACCTATGCATCTGCCATCTCTGTGAGAAGCAGAGCTGAGCAGGATCCATGCACTATTGTGATGAGCGCTGCAAGTACAACGCACCTGATCCTGCAGTATTTGCAGAACCACCAGAGGAGCCGTGGGAAACATGATTCCTTGGAGGCTACCTTGCTGTTGGACATAGAAACAATTCATGGTTGTTGGCTTTCACAGAGAAGCTGCAAATGGTGGAGAACTGGTTCTGGGCCAGAGAAACAAGCACTGACTGGTGGAATCACATTATTATGCAGCCTTGGGATGGCGAGCAGAACTTTCAGATATGGAAGGCCACATTCCTGGAAGTGTATGCGGAGCTCGCCCCAGCCTTCCGGCGCAGCGACACCAACATGAGAGCTGCACTGCCAGTGGTGATCACCGTGTGGAAGCTTGCAATGCCAGATTGCTACCGTGGATTGGGAATCAATTTAGAGCTGGGAAATTCACTGTGGGGGTTGCTCTGATGCAAGTGTGCAGGGCCATTAATCACGTTCTGCTACGAAGGACTGTGACTCTGGGCAATGTGCGGGACATAGCGGATAGTTTTGCAGCAATGGGGTTACTAAACTGCAGGGTGGGCGATAGGTGGCACACATCCCCATTTTGGCACCAGTCCACCTTGCCACAGAGTACATCAAAAGAAAGGGCTGCTTTTCTATGGTATTGCAAGTGCTGGTGGGTCACTGGAGACATTTTACCAACAAAAAGATGCACACGTCATGCATGGTTAAGAACACAGGCCTGTTCAGAAAGCTGTAAGCAGGGACTTTCTTCCAGACCAGAGGATCATCATTGGGGATGTTAAAACGCCAATAGTGATCCCGAGAGACCCAGCCTACCCCTTACTCCTATGGCTCATGAAGCCGTACACTGGGCACCTCAACAGCAGCAAGGAGCATTTCAATTACAGGCTGAGCCGGTGCAGAATGACAGTTGAATGTGCCTTTGGCCATTTGAAAAGCCACTGCTGCGGTCTACTCATGAGATTAGACTTCAGTGAAAAAAATATTCCAATGTCTGCTATGTGCTTCATAATATCTGTGAAGCAACTGGGAGAAAGTTTCTTCTGGGGTGGAGGGCAGAGGTGGAATAGCTGTCTGCTGATTTTGAGCAGATAGATAC